TCTACACCAAGTTCTCAATTCCCAATTCTTTAACCTTAAATGTTAGTATTTGTTTTTCTTTTGTGTAGAAATTTGAGTTTTAGATATTGCAGCAATTTTTCGTCTTCGTCGGTGTGCCATTGCTTAAAGTTCTCTAAGAATTAGAAAGTGTTACAGACGATCGAGAAGAGCTATGATAGTAGAATTTGAGTTATTTTGTTGCCTTTAGTGTTTTAGTTTGGGAATTTATTTCCATTTGTTTTTATGTTACTGCTTGTCTTTTTTTTTGGTGAAAAATTACAAAAATGCCACTTTTTGTGTGCACATTTGCAAGAATACAAGTTAGAGGTGTTCATTTACAAAAATGTCACTAATTATAGATTTATAAAGCCTATATCTTAAAATTTTAAATCCAAAAAATGTTTTGACACCTAAAACCCGCTAAACACTCAAAACTAAATCCTAATAGAACATAATTAATCCAAACATAAATAATATAACGAAAAAATAATTTTGAAAAAGTGATATTTTTGTAAAGATTTCAAAAGTGTGGCATTTTTGTAAAGTGACATTTAAAAAGTGGTATTTTTTTAAATTTCTCTTTTTTTTTTTTGTTAAATTTTGGGTCAGACTGGTAAATTATTAGTGAAATTGAGAGGAAAAATAAAATAATTTAAAAGAAAGAAGAAAAATTACTGTTAGAAGAAAAGAAAATCTCTCTCAATTTTGTAGAGGACTAAATTCTACTAGTTTTCTCTACTTTTTACAACCAGCATTAAAAATCTTTCTACTCGATTGGAGCCCATGTGGAAGAAAATTTTTTATCCTCTTTTCTTTTCTTCTAATAAGGTTATTCGGTCACACCCCTTATGTTTATCTAGTTAAAAGTTGTTTCTTCAAAACTATTTTATAGTTCGCCGATTTAGTTTTCGAATTTATATTGATAGCTACCAACATTTATATCTTTTCAAATGATCTATTAATTTATATTGATAGCTACCAACATTTATATCTTTTCAAATGATCTACCAACAGTTATTCTTACGGTGACAGTTGTTTCACAACATAATACCAATTTATAAACTTTATCGTTTTGTTTTGAAAAACAAATGATAGTCCTAAATTATTTATTTTAAATAATATTACATTTTAAGCAACAAAAAAAAAGTTTTTCAAAGGGAAATTAACCCATGATAAAGGGAAATTGGGTGAGATAACCTAAAAAAAAAAATTATAACTAAGAACATAACTAATTAACCTAAATCTAGTGTATATAATTATGCCACATACCCCTATTTTAGTTAGTTCTCTAATTATTAATTTTTGTTTGTTATTGAGTAAATTAACACAATGATAAATAGTCAAATTTAAAAGAGATTGGAGAAAATACAAAAGAAAATATGAATTCTGATGGAATACTTCTATAGGCGGAATTAGCGCAGGTATATATTCCTTTTTTCAATTTGAATGATTGGATAACCCAAAAGCGACTACTCTCTTATATTAAATGCTCAATTCCCTTTGTGGTTTTTGTCTCTCTC